ACCTTCAGTCTCGCATGCGAACGCCTAACGTTTAGACCATCGAGCCGGCATCCAACGGTGTTAATATCTAGAGGTTAGACATTCGCGTGCGAGACAGGAGGTCCTGGGTTCGAATCCCACATGTTGGGTCGTGGATGTGCACTGCTGAGTAGTCCCATACTAGGACGAGACGGTAGTCTAGTGTTTCTAGGTTTTCAATGGTGGTCCAGAATAGATCGACTCATGAATTGAACTATTAAATATTACTACAATTTCCACAAGCCTTCATTCTATTATATAAATATCTTCTAAATATGATATTTCCTTTAGTTCACTTTAAGAAAACTGGTCTATTCATACTTATATTTATTACTCAAGTATTCCTATGTTAGAAAATAATGTTAGCAACAATGTCTACTTTAATAAATTCGTTAGTAACTTTAGTTTTCATTCACAGTTAGGCTATTAAGTAAGTTGAATTACTTTGAAAAAATCCAGACAAAACTGCTGGATGAAACGTTAGAATTATTTAAATTTCAATCGTTTAGATTATTTCAAGTATAATTTTCGCAAGTGATATAATCCGTTTTTGTAACTGTTAAGTATGGTCCCGATTGACATTTATTGTTAACTAGACATCATGTCTCTTTTTTAGCATCTTTTTTAAATACTTAACACAAAAAGACTAGTATGATGACGAAGAGTTATCGGTCAGTTAACTAATGATTAATTCATGATAAATAAAACAATAAATATCACGAATCACTTCCCTTTGTTATCATCAAATAAGTTCTAAGTTGTATAAAGTTTATTACCTTTGAAAATCACTTTATTTCTACTTGTTCTTTTGGATAGTTTTTACTTTCTGTAGTAGTTGTCAAAATTTTGATTGTTAAACTGTAATATATTGAGAAAGGCTAGTTTGTCCCCGACAAGTAATAAATAATTAGCTCAGCTGGTTTACATGAGCACATTTTCTTAATTCATTGGTTATGAAAACGACTGGGTAGTAAATAATGCGTAGCATAAGTATTTACATATTGAATTGAAAATAAATTACAGTCTAGTTTACAAACAAATCAGTACATCATCTAGAAATTGAAAAATTTGTGAGTGATATTAAATTTAAAATAGTATTTTTAAATCGTCACTCCTTTTATTAAAAAAAACGTTACCACCACAATCAAGTAACCGCTTTTCAGCTTCATTTTGGGAAGGAGAGGAGGCTAGTGACTTGTGTTGGTCATAGCGATGGAGGCCACTATGTTAATCCAATTTTATTTTGAAACTATCGACAGATGGAGCTTCAACCATGTTTTGAAGTAATAAGTTCCGCTCGTTGATCATTCGACGGGAAAGTTGGTAGTCAGCTAAAAAAGTAATAAATTCTGGGCTTATAAACATTTTTGAAGTGTCTTCATAAGTTGTGTTTTGAAAGACAAGAAAAATGAAGGCATATTTGGCGAAAATGTTTTACTAAGTAATCTAAAAACTGCAACTAAGTCATATTTAGTCCTTCGGTATGATAATGGGATTAGGTATAGTTTGGCCATTTTCGCGTCATACAGTAGCTTAGAGACTCAGGCAATCAACTTAGTTGTAATTTTTTGACCTTCGAACAACTCACTGTCATTTTTTGATAGAGTCTGGCTGCTTGTATGCAATACTTGAGCTATTAATAAGTCTGTGAGACATGAATAACTTGTTCTAAAACTCTCTTGATTTTTGTAGAGAATCAGATTTACATTCAGATACATAAATACCTGCTTGCAAATAATCTTTTCTTGAATATTAACGACCATGCTGGTTAAACATGAAGCCTGATAATTATCTAATTTATATGTATACCTGTTTGAAGATAGGATTTACTATAAAGTTCTTTCATTTCCCTGATGATCTACCTTGGGTTACGGACAGATTAAAATATATGCTCAAGGGATTCACTATAAAGTTTGCGAGTTCCTTTAGTAATCTAGGATGCCTTTGATCGAGTCCTATAGATCCACTCATAACTAGTTCATTTAACCGACCTGAGATATGGAGTTTTTTAATAGTTATAACACTCAGAGTTTGATTGAGGCATCTTTTTGTACTTGAAAGAACAGCATATTTACGGCATATACATAACGAAATTAGTCTGAGAATATCTGAGCTACATCGCAGTCGTCTTCCACTAGCAATGCAATACTATAATCATACAGTTCAGAGGTGCTGCCTCCAATCCTCATTCCTTGATTTTTGCACGAGTGTAGGTTCTCTCAGGATTCTACAGACTATCTTAAAATAAATAACTTTCTATTTCTTCTATGTTATGAGTGATTGTAGCTCCGTCAACTAAATTTATTTAAAGAAGCTTCTTTTTGTTATTCTGGTGAAACACAATTTTAAGCTTTCAATTAATAAGATCAACTATTGATTACCTACGCTACATAAGGATTAATTCTTTAACATTTCATATTAAAAAGGGTAATATCTACTGAATTTCGATTACATACTGATCACCTAAATCTATTCAACAAACTTATATTTTAGCAGATTATCTTCAGTTCAAATTTTGTTCCCTTTCAATATTTAGTTATAAAGTCTAGTTTTCGTTATTTATTCGAGAATATACTTTTATTTATCGATGAACTAATAAAAATAAAATCTGATCATTCAAATTGAATTTCATTTTTTAATAAAATTATATTAAGGAATTGTTATATCCCGATAACAATAATGAATGGTAACTTTGGGATCCATTTATGGACCAATATTATGCACATATTTTTTATCGTTTAATTGCAAAATAACTAAGCTATTCATATTCATGTTACCTTTATTATAAGCTTTATTTTGATCTATAGACTATTATTATACGATTTACCATTCTTGAGTTATCCCCAGTCTATTGATTACTGTTCCCCTTATTCACAGCCACATTTGGCTGATTCCTATTTTATTTCCTATTTTACTGGTACGATGTGGTCAGTCTGTTTGGTATATAAACTCGTTATGTTTAAAATACAATGATTCATACCGCAGAGGGTGTTATTGGTTTTCTAGACTTAACTGGCTGGGCTAGGCAGAAAGCAGGACCGATACGTACTCTAGACTGCTCGTACGGTTTTCGTGTATTACTGTTCCAATCGATCATTCGCTGCTCTCTGATTGGCGGTTTTAGCACGTCATACATTAACTGAGCATCCACTCAGCCACAAGATATAACAGGAATTCGTTATAACGGTATATATTTTCCCTAATATTTATTGTTTAAAGAAAAAAACAAATTTCCTAAAGGTTCATCGCTTACGGGTAAAGTTGACTCAATGATATCGGTTTTGGTCAGGCAATTGAATTTCACAGTTGTTATTTTAATCTAATATTAGACAATTTGTTTATTCTAATTTCATTCGTATAATAAGTTTTGATCCTTGTAATTTAAAGTAGCCATGTAATCGGACTATAAATCAAATTGTTTTGTTTGTTTTCCTAAATGATATTTAAAATAAAATTGTACTTTTAAGTGTGATAATAGAATCATTCAGGTAAAATGTTTCTGTTTTGTATTAATAAAAGTATACAATAAAAATATACAATAAATTTATGTGTATAAATGCCGGTAACACAACTGAGCTATGTGTATACTCTATTGATTTCTGTTCCAAAAATATTATTAACTGCAAAAGTAATGGTAACAATCAAATAATGATTCTAGATTTTAGTTTAAATTACTATAAGAGTAACATTGATTGATCAAAACTTATTACAAGTGTCAATCATCGTATATTTTGATCCACTGAATTAAGTAGTAAACGTGTTTGCAATAAAATAGGGATGATCGAATTTAAGCAACTAAAAGAAGACTGTGCTTTAAAGCTTTGTGGTTTTCACTTTTTCTTCATTGACAGAACTATTTTCAATTAATAGTGTTTTAAATTTGATATACTTTTTTGTATATTTCAACAGCATTTTTCTATTTTCAATAATCATTTAAGTCATTTCAACTTATAACTTGATTCCACCTTAATTCTTTGAACAAAGTTTCTTCTATTAAGAATCTTCATTTCATTTCATTACAGAAGTATTACATATTATAAAAATATAAGTTATAATCTCTGAATAAGTTAAATAAAAGTAACTTATACTCCCATCCTATTCAGGAGAGAATTCATTCAGTATATCTTAAAAATATTCCCTGTTTATCAGGAAAAACTATATCGTTGTTCTTCTCACTTTCGGTAGCTCATATACTACAGCATTAAGATAAATATAAAAAGGATTTGAAATGTTCAAGTTTGTTTTTTAATCTGATCAATAAACGTAGGCTTCTTTCCTCATATAGTAACTGAACAGACTTGCTTTGCATATAATGACTAGATAATTTGCCTATCTTCATACATTTAACAAGACCATTAATAAGCGTTAAACAAAGTTTTTTTTGATAGAAAACAACCTTTTTTTATACAGTCAAATAGAGTAGTAGAGAGTATTTAGTATAGAGTTGTTTAAGAAACAATTAATGCTTTATTTTATTTAACAAAATAAGCAACTTTTCTTTTGACTTTAATAAAAAAACTTAAAAAAAAAACAATTTGTTAATACCAGCAGTTATTTTTACCGCAAACATAATCCATATTGATTTGAATCTCCCTAATTAATATTATTATTATTTATTAAAAGAATGAAATATTTTAATTTTATTAGTGAATTAATTAAATAATTTGAAATTGTATTTAATCTAATCTAATTCACTAATCACCTAGAAAAATTGGTCCACTTAACTTTTGGAGACGATATTTCAGTAAGGGTAATATTATATTACTAAACCATTAAAAGTATAAATGTATCATATACCGGGTAAGATTAGAAAGGAAATAATGTAATGGGAATGATATTATTTATGAGAATATAATAATAATAATAAGAAGGTAATAAGAATTATAACACTGCCAAACTGTATATTTTTAATTGTGATGACAATAGGTTTGGAGTTTCACAGATGTTTTTTTCTTTATTGCTTACCATTAAACTTATATCAGTAGTAACCTAGTAACAGAAGTGTTGGTGTAAACAAGCAAAATAACTGATAAGGAAGGTGTATTTTCAGAAGAAACAAAGGAAAAAAATATTATTATTCAATTTTCAACATTGAAAATATACAGAATGTTCTATTGAAGATGCTAGATCCCAGAAACCCATTCAGTAAGTGTCTTATTTTGTAATTTTATTTTGGAAATTTGAATTTCTTGTTTCCCCACTCGGAAGGACCCTAAATGTCATTGGTTCGTTTCCACTTTTAATATGCTGTTTTATGACGTTTCCCAAGGTCGTTTTTATGCCATATATACGCTTGAAGTGTGTGCTTGTTGTTGTTTGTGCTTCTGGATGCTTATGGAATATGCTTCCTCTCTCTAAACCAGGACTTCTGCCTCTAGTTAGTGTGTCTGAGACGCATCGTAAAAGTTAGTTTATCTTGTCATTGTGTCTCTGAGTCTTCGTTCCGTTCGCCGATTTAGGTGATCTCGTAGTTTTTTCAAACAGCAGTTCACAAGCATGGTTAGCAGAGATGGATAGTGGCTAGCAGTGGAATCCAGGACGCGCGTTTCGTCCTATTTGGGACTCGTCAGCTGGATGTACCTGCATCTCAGAGTTGATGTTCACTCTGAGACTCGAACCCAGTACCCTCGCTTCAAACGCCATCGCGTTATCCACTCGGCCACTGAGTCCTGATAGCCACTTGCTTGTGCGATGGGGTGAAGTTTAAATTCAACTTAGTATTGTTTGTTTGAATCTCCCCATCGATTTGTTAGGACTGCAACTGGTCAGTCTCTAATTGGCATATGTGCATACTGTTACATCCAGCTGACGAGTCCCAAATAGGACGAAACGCGCGTCCTGGATTCCACTGCTAGCCACTATCCATCTCTGCTAACCATGCTTGTGAATTAAGGTATATCGAGGCAATACGCACAGTATGCACATATGCCAAATAGAGACTGACCAGATGCAGTCCTAACAAAATCGATGGGAAGATCCAAACAAGTAATACGAAGTGAATTTATAGCAGTTCACAGTTCTAAAATGGCGAGATTCTAAATAAACAAAGTGCACTAGAGAGATACTACAGTACAAATTGGTTACAAATCTATTTCCACAATCACCAACAGTACGTTAAAAATTATAGACTGGTCTGATACTTTGCCGACTAGTTTACTGCTCTTATCCTGAATTTCATTGAATCCATTAAAATATTAATAATAAACGGTTTCTCACTTCTTATTTTAACTTGAATTCGTTAGATGTCACAATCAGTGTTGTGTACTTGTTTTTATTCAATTATTCTTCTTTATGGATATCAGTCAATCATTATCAATAATTCGAACAGAATAATATGAATTCATTTAATTCATGGATTATTTTTAACTGTTTGCAACTTATTAACTATGTCTACTTAATTTTTATCACATTTACAAAAACGTTTTAATGAACGTTGAAAATGATGTAGAGAATTATATTAGTGAGAACTATATATATATATATATATGTATATATATTCACGTGCCTGGAAAGCATCGTTGATAAACAAGGAGGATCGGATGCAGATGTAAAGGCGAGGATTGGCAAAGCAAGGGCAGCATTTCTACAGTTGAAGAACACATGGAACTCAAAACAACTGTCAACTAAATTCAAAGTGAGAATCTTCAATACGAACGTCAAGACAGTCCTACTGTACGGAGCTGAAATGTGAAGAGCTACTACATCCATCGTCAAGAATGTATAAGTATTTATAAACAGCTGTCTACGCAAAATACTCAACATTCACTGGTCGGATAATATCAACATCAGCCGTCTATGGGAGAGGACAAACCAGCTTCCAGCTGAAGAGGAAATTAGGAAAAGACGTTGGAAGTGAATAGGACATACATTAAGGAAATCACCAATATGCATTACAAGGCAATCCCTAACATGGAATCCAGAAGGAAAGTGGAAAAGAGGAAGGCCAAAGAACACATTACGCCGGGAAATACAAGCAGATATGAAAAGGATGAATAACAACTGGAAAGGAAGGCCCAGGATAGAGTTGAATGGAGAATGCTGGTGAGCTGCCTATGTTCCTCCATGAGGGGTAACAGGCGTAAGGAAGTAAAGTAATATATATATATATATATATATATATATATATATATATATATATATATATATATATATATATAAGAAGGTTCTTAGAATCGTTATTATGATAGATCCTTGGTGTCATTCACTTTCTCAATTGTATATGTTATTCCTATATCTTGTTACATAACTGAACTGTATTCAGTTGATCGATCTTCCATTATATGAATTATGAGGTTAATGTTTCATACTGTATCAACTTTTCTCTTTACTCCTCATAGTTTTCTTCTCTTTTAGTATATCTATATGTTTTAGTGTACAACAAATGATTCTTTCAATTGTTCTGCATTTATTGTTTTGTATTACTCTTTATTAATGTCAACAAAAATGCCAATAAAAATGTTTCTATAAATATTTACACTTATTTATTTTTATATAATGAATGGTATCCATTCTAGATTGTAACTAACCAAAGTGAATCCATATCATAAATCAAATTCATTCTATCCTGTTGTGATTGTTTCTACTTATTCATAGTTATTTTCATTTGACTGAATATCAGAAAGTTGTTTTTCTTAAAAATTTTATTCTTAGCAAGAATCTTTATTTTCTATATCTTATTTCTGTTTATCATTTAGTGTAAACTTTTAAATAAACAAAAAGAAAGGTGTACTCATGAAGAATGAATAAAACCTATTTGAATTTATCTAATCATCCAATAACTTCAACAGTTGATAATACTTCATTGAATACAATGTCAACAACAAAAGTTCGTTTCAGTTCAAATTTATGTAATGGTCATTTATCATCATCGTCATCATGTAAAACAAATTCAAATAATCTATGCGATGCACCATCTTCATCATCATCAACTGGTGATTATTCAACATCATCTGAATTCAGCAGTACATCACATATTATGAAAAATTTTACTATTGGTGATCGAGTCTTTTTAAATAGAACAAAACAACATGGTACAATTGCGTATATTGGACCAACACATTTTTCCGCTGAAGATCTTGTCGGTAAGTTTGTACGCTTCAATAACTTAAAAACCCAGTTCTTTTTTCATTTGTGATGCAAGAATGGTCTTTTAATTGTATCGCTTTATTCACTTAGTATTTTGTCTGTTTGAATCTTCCCATTGATGATTAGGAGTGCAACTGGTCAGTCTCCAATCGCCATATGTGCACACTGTGCGTATCGCCTCGATATAGCCTTAATTCACAAGCATTGTAAGCAAAGATGGATAGTGGCTAGCAGTGGAATCCAGTTTGATGCGCGTTTCGTCCTATTTGAGACTCGTCAGCTGGATGTAGTCCTAGTCTGAAGTGAACTAGTATTTCAGCGATGAAACTAAGTGAATACTGAAACTCTAAATGTGAATCGTTTGGTTTATTCTCAGTGCTCAAACTGTATTGAGCAGATATAACTACCCACTGCTAACGAACTACCTATAATAAAAAACAACAACACGGTGCTTCCTGGTTTTTATTAGTTCCTCATCTGAAATTGACTGCCATGGAATTAATTTAATTCTGCTCAGTACGCTTCTTCACAATTTGCCTTGTGAGGAGATATAAAAGTTGTCTTAGATGACAGTACTAAAACTACAAATGTTTCGCAGCTTTATTGTTTGTTTTGAGCTTACTTTTAGTTTTTTGTCTTCAAACAATATAATGTAAATTTCTAACCACCTGCTAGTTCGTTTTAATGAAACTAGCGTTTTGGGCTACATATCTATGAATGTTTTGATTGTTTTTTACTAAACTTCCGCGCACACTACATTAATAAAATTTGTTTTTGAATTTTATCCAAGTTTCATACATATTTCCGGCTCTTGATGGTACTGAAATATCTATCATCAATCGTTCAGTTGTATACTCAGGAATTATGTCCATGCTAACTGAACTATGAGACTTTTGTTTTCCTTTTCATAATAAAATATCTACAGTTTTGTCCATATGTAAGAAATTTCGGTAATTAATTGCGTAAGAAATAAAGAAGCAATCGAAAAATAATATTCATCGGATGGCTATATTCAATTGGCGGCATGTCATTAACTTAGTTAATATGCAGTTGTTGTAAAACTCAAGACAGTAAACAGTTTCAGATTGTATCATTTATTGGAGATTGTGTACAGAATTTTATGATTGATCATTATGAGTAGATAAAACACAAGTCATAGTGTTCGTAATTATATCCCTGAACCTAATGACTTAACCAAAGTATGTTATTTATCACTGTTAGTAGTAGGCGTCCGAGAAATCAACTAGAAATAGAACCTCGAGAAAAGTAGATAATAATGACCATACCTGAAGAAAATATTTAGAAATAATACTTCCGTTACTGACCATTTAAAGGGTCACATAATATTTCAGTGATTCATCACCATTGCGGCATCCAAATATTATTATTTGTTTGTGCGATATGAAACCCAAGACATTTTACCAAATACTAACACTTTTAACTTTTCAAAACTTATCCATTATTTTGTATTTCAAATTATGCGGTTCATTAATTTTAAAAGCTTAAAAAAACTAAATAATTTTACAGTAAATAGTTTGTATGTCTAATTTTACAAAGACCTAAACTACATCCATTTTTTCACAATACTGAGCTTTATACATTAAATTGTTTACTCTTTGAGTTTACTCAATTCCATCGAAATTCACATTTCAACAACTGAACATTGTTAAAATTAATGTTATGAGACATATTTCAATGTTCTTACTGTAGGTCACGATGTATATCCTGAGTATCTAACATATTTTAACGCCAGTTTTAGATCAAGACAAGAATTAAGTGATAATGGCATATCATAAATGGTAAAATTTCTAAAGAGACAATTCATCTGTTCACAAACTTCTATCAAGCATTTTTGTAATATAAAAAGAAGTATCTAGATATCATCTATCCAAAAGTTTTCATTTGTTTAGGCGTATTCTATATTTTGAACTGTTTTGAAAGAGTTGGAAACTTTTATGTTTTCTTTGTTCTTTTTCTTTTTGTAAAAACAAATCACACAACAGTTTGATATTAAAGAAAAAGACTTTGTAAAATAATTAACCTTGAATACGTCTAACTAATTAGTCTTTTGAGGATACAAAAGTCAAACTAAGAAAACAATGAAACATGGGTTTAAGGTGTGTTTTAATAAGTAACATGTTAAATGAGACTTAGAGATGATCAATCAATGATGACTGAATTGTATTCTGAAGAGTTCCGCAACAAAGTACTGATTAACGACGTATGCGATTAAATTTAGTAGTAATTTTACAAGATACGAAATTTTATTCGGGTTTACTAACCGACTGACAAATGAGCGTCATAATTTCAAAATCTATGACTGTAGGATTATGCCATATATGAATTGATACATAGGGTAAACGTTCCTAGTCAGTTAATCAGAATCAACGTGTAGGAAATTTGCATTGGAACAAGTTCCTATAACATATTAGCACTGACTACCGTGACCAGTGACTAAAGAAAGCCTTCTTCATTTTAACTGGTTTAGCTAATCGAGAGTGAAGACATATAATACTGACTCAAACATTTGCACAGATTAAATCAGGAAATTTATTAATTAATTTATTTATTTATTCAAACACATAAATATTGGTACAAGGAAGCACCAGATACATATGCGCCATACAAATCTCATTCGATTTGCCTGAGGGCTATGATACTGTCCAGGTGCCCAAACTGAAGCAGATGGTTTTCTTAGGGGACCACACCCGGAGCCTTTGACCGAAAGGTCTGATCCACAAGGCAATGGAGCATCGTGAGGAGATGCAGTCCCATGGTAGCCGGTGATCAACGATTGATTCGTACGCCATTTGTTCTCTCAGGATACTGGATCCAGTCCATGTGCACCATTGGTTTCGAATCAGGGTTTTCCAACTCTCCTAGGTGGATCCTCCACATCCACCAACCCGGTTAAAGCGCCGGACATTCGCTTTTCGTTCTCTCACTTTTGTGAACAACACCCCCGCCACGAGAAGACAATGAGTAGGACTTCCCTGACAGAGGCTATATATTCGCGTGGCCATGTGAGAGCATTTCGAGAGGGAGAGTGGGCTCTCCCCACTCTCGGCCGTACCAGGGCATTTGGGGGGCTAAATCAGGAAATGGTCTTAGTTAGATCACCATTGAGAATCTGGAAGCATTGGACGGCCGTTTCTTCCTCGTACTGAACTCCTCATCGGTGTGAATCAACGCCCCTGAACCCGGCAATTGGACCCAGGATCTTTGCTATAGCTCCAGGTCATTAAGCGGCGGTCTTGGATGCGATCTGATGGGAAGGTTTTCAACAGTGGTCTAATGAATACAAATTTATGATTTAAACTATTAAGATACTACAATCTAAAAATCCATCATACTAAAACATTTATTAGAATTGTTTAAAAAATTACTGATGACTTTAGGATTTTTTCAAAAATGCATTATTTGAAACATCATTCAACCAATAGGTGAACGAGCATGTTCATCGTTACTGAAAACGAAACGCCCATAGTTTAGGGAGATTTAGCTGATAAAAGTACCAAACATAACAGTTTTTATTGCCTTATTCCAATTTATCGATCGGGGAAATTTCATGAAACTTAAAGTTCTACTAAATAAATTGAAAAGATGATTGGTCTTACGAATTAGTTCTTTAACTACCAACGCTTCCCCAACACCATTAATATCATCTACCTATCAAGTGTAAAGTGTAATGCATTAAAAAAATCAAGCTAATTGAACACATCGAGCAAATTAGCCAGTAATGTTTACTAATGCTGAAAAATGGATGTAACTGACCTGAGAATTTCGTTTAAACATTGAATATACCTTCAACAAAATATATATCATTATAAGCAGAGATGGATGGTAGTTAGCAGTGGTATCCAGGATATGCATTTCGTCCTATTTGGGACTCATTTAATCAGTAAGTAGATAAATCAGGTCATTTCCGTTTATGCACAGTTACCGCTGCTCAGAGGAACTAAAAAAAGCTATTTCAACTTTGGAACAGTTCGTTTTTTATATGTATTTGAAGCTGATAGTTAAACACAACAATATGTACTTAATCGTAATGTCTTTTCCTTAAAAATAACTTGCTAAATGAAATGTCCCCATTCAAAATATTTTTATTTTTTTAGGGCTTACTTTTATTGTTTCTAGTGAAATAAACAGTGAGGGATCAAGGGAATAAAGATCAGTTAGTATATAAAAGTGAATGCTAATTTTTGAGAACAGTTATAACAAAGATATCTCCTTAAATAGAAAAAGGAAATAACAAGTGTGATTTAACCGAGAGATGTCACACATGATTTCATTTTGGGAACTATTCAGTCGTTAATATACACAACTTAAATAAAATTTTATGTTTATCGACAACAATAATATATTAAATAAAATGTGAAGGATCTCAGATTTCTTCAGATTAGTTTTTGACATCGGCACTAAGCTTAGTATCCTGAAATAGATCGGTATTTTACAAATAACCTAAAGGTCAAACTTCTGAAAGTGACCATTTTGATCCGTGTTTATCACTCTCCTTAGATCTGTGGAACCAGGTACATTGGTTTTTTTATGTACTTTTAATTCAATAGGGTTTAAGTGCGTTAGTTTGCTTAGTGGGTAGGGACAGGCTGAGGGTCTATGATAAGTGCAATAACCGTACAAACTCTTAACATTTACTATGCAGCTAAACAGTTTCGTCTGCCAAATAAAATATTTCCTCACCGTCTATTAATTACTGGACATTTTGTTAAGCAGATAAATAAATTTAAACTATATATGCTAAAGTAACTCAACCTACATTCTTTTTTTTGTGGTAAATCATAAACTCTAGTTTTGTAAATCACAACTCATTTCTTCTCCACCCCCCTCACCAGTTCCCTCTCCAGTTACATTCGGCGAGTTGAAATAACTGGAAAAGTCATTCACACTATATATTAATAGTTTATTAACAGATGTTTGGTAATTATTTTCTTACTGACTGGAACTTGTTACAAACATTTCATTGATCGAAACAGTA